TCTTATCATTTGAAGAAGTTTTTATTTTACAAGGCCAAGGAGTACAGCGTGCCCAGATAAATATTTTGACAAGAAATGTCAGATTGTCCTGACGCTTCAGAACAAGAAGAGCCGACCTCAGATAATGGGATAAAGGGTTAAGAAATAGAAGACGTTTTTACAAATTAACTACATCATTAGGTACAAACCTGATTATCAGGGACATTTCCTAATCACGAAAGATTTCCTCTTTCAAACTAACTTTTGCCTTACCGGATCGGCTTATCTGCACCAAGCAGGAGCCTTTATTCCCGAGCTGTTCCCAAAGGTGACAGAATCGAATAATGATTAGCGAGCGTGTGAACTCGATTACGTCGCGTCTCGAACACGTTCGGGCTCGTCGGGTAATACAATTATAAAGTGTGCTTTAGCGTGTATGCCTGCGTAAGATGACGTATTCCACTTTGAGCACCCGCTGAAATAGCACCTGGCCTTTTCCACTTAGAGCACCTATCTATATAAAAATAAATTTAATTCCAATTTGATTTTCGTGGAATCAAATTTATTTTTACCTACCCAAAATATCGATAAGTGCTCTAAGTGGAATTAAATAGGCAAGGTGCTATTCGTGCAGGTGCTATTTGTCCGGGTGCTCAAAGCGGAATACGTCCCGAAGATTATGTCAGGTGTGTTTATAGCTATTTACTGCCTTAAGCTTTATGAGCAACAACGATAAGTGAAGCTTTGTGCTTTTAAAGCGAGAAGCTTGGCGGATTTCCTTTAGTTCCTTTACTCTGGGGACCACGTAAGTAGGACGCACTTAGTGCTAAGAGTTACTAAGCCTACGAACTAAAACTTCTTAGCATACCACATTGTTGTCACTTTGATTTACTAAACAATTTTCATCGCACTAGAAGTTTCAGCAAAATTCAACTAACTAGCTCGCCTTAAGTAGTTAGAGTAGAAAATATTCTATTGTTTTGTGTGGGAAAACAATAGAATATTTTCTACTCTAACTATACTAGAAATATTCTAATAACTAGAAAATATTCTTTAAAAATACAATTAAATTTACATTGACTAAAAATAATTTAACTGAACATCAAAAGGGAACAATAAATTAAGATTGACGTTAACGCAGCTCGCGTCTCGCCTCCGTCAAAGTTCAATTATACCGTTCCCCAAGGATTCAACATGATTCAACTCAAAGGATCAGGAAACGTCACTCATTGAGAAACAATTTAACTTTGCCATTCGGAACTTTCTTAAATAGGTGCTTTGTATTTGCCGCAAGTAGGTACCCGCGACCCGTATTATTATGACCACCGCTCGACTGTCATCTATTTCCATTAAAATTTTGAGCGTTCGAGCGGGGGTAGGTAGGTACTAGCATAATAAAAAGTTTCTTTTGTCCATAATAGCGTTGTTTTAAGCCACACTTCGAAACTTTACATTTACTTGAAACCAAGGATGTTATGGATATACCCGTAACCGTAACCGAAACTTTCGGATATCCGAAATAAAAAATATCTGAAACCGTAAACCGTAACCGATTCAAAAGTTTCGGATGTAGGTAGTTTAAATTGTTTTTTGTTTAGCATGTAAAGTCTCATTTACCTTTATAATGCCATCTAGTAGGTATCTTTTTTTTTACTTTTTATTCGATGATCGGCCATGAATGAACCGTGTGGGACAACTATTGCAAATTGCATTCTAAAGCACAGTTATCCGTAACCGTAACCGAAACTTTCGGATATCCGAAATAAAAAAATATCCATAACCGTAACCGAAACTGGTATAATATTATTCCTATATCCGTAACCGTATCCATAACTGAAACTACATATCCATAACATCCCTACTTGAAACTTTACGTTACGAGTAATTTAATTTTCGTCGTCAACACTATGTATTAATAGTTCTTCGATAAACAGTCTGACACAGACGTTGTGACATTAAAGAGAAATAATTATTGTTGATTCTAGGAAAATTTTCTTAAGATAAACTATTCGCTTGCCACTAAGTATTACCCAGTATACGAGTACTACAACACTACAAGATAAAAGCCAAGCTCTACAAGTCTAACTAGGTATAGGTAGGTACCTCAGATCATAGGTAGGTACCTAATGTAATGCAAGTGCACATCCAATGCTTGAAAGCAGCAGTGGGAGACGGCGTATGTGACTGCACCAGACAGTCTGCCAATAGAGAGAGTTCGAGGGAGATCGTGCGGAGAGTTGTATCCGCCTCTACAGCCGATGTGAACAACGCCTCAACGTGACCACGACCGCTCTGCCAAGAGCGTAACGAATAAGAAGAAGACATCCAAAGCACAAAGTAGTGACACACCCGAAGCTTTTAATCGTGCATTAAGATATTAGCAGCCTTCTGGCTGGCAAATTATGAAAACTTCAGCGAACTTTATTGTTAGCAATAATTAATAAGGTCTCGTGCAAGATTGTAAACAAAACATAAAAAAAAATATTTTCATTTTTGTAATCCACGTGTTCTCGATCCTTATCAATATTTTCGTCGTCTAACTTACTCATTGGTTTTGTTACAATAGCCTGGTAGGTCGAATCAGTCGCTTCTGTAATTTAAGTGCTTCACAGCATTTGGTTTCTTGTGGCCGACGAGTTGCGAAATCCGTGGGCGAACAGTTAGACTCACGTGTAGGTACTATCGGGGNCTATTATCATTTTTTTTACCTCAATGTGTCTGAAATCTGAATGTCACCTGATGGGTCAAAAATGTAAAGCAGCCCGAAGATGGAAGCGATCAAGCGAGCTTATAACATTATCTTTAGTAGGTACGTTATAGCTTACATGCCAAGGTTGTAGGAACGATTGTAAAAAATCGAATGTATCGAAATTGCACGGTAGGTGAGGGGTACAAAGGGAAGGGCATGCGGGCGACAGGACATACAGGCTGTATTGACTATACAAAAACCGACGAATGAGTCAAATAATTTTCATTTAACTATTAGCAAAAAAAGTAGGTAGGTAGCTTGTAAAAACTTACCAAGTGTTGTGTCTTATGGCGCCAAAGTGATACGCAGCGATAGTATACAGGTTTTACATTGGGTCACAATATCACTAACACAGTTCGCAACCATTGCATGTAGGTACAGTCGAGGAATGAAAAGGTTCGTCACCTTAGTGTCGGTTTTCGCTTGCACTAGGTACTGTAAGAGTCAAACCTGCCAACATAACAGTGCAAGAAACAGTGCTGCTAACATTTAAATAAATATGACGTTTGCTAACGAATAAGGTTTTGCTTGTTTATTTTTCTATCCCATCAGTGCAATGCAATGATGACATTGACCAATGACAATTTTTTTTTTCTTTAATAGAAATAATAATGGCAGGTTGAACCAACAAGAAGGTTTTACTTTATCAATCATAATAATCTTCTTGACAAGATAAATCGTCAAACAACTTTGATCTGAATAATTTTGGACTTTACTGACGAACAGTTAAAGATTATTTTCTCTAACTCGAGATTATTCTGTAACATAGTTTCAAAAGGTAATATGTGCTCGCGATTCGTTGAAGGAATCAATTTGAAAACTGACGAACCTTTTCATTCCGTGACTGTACATATTCGAAAGTTCATTTTCGCGACACGATAGCGGGAGGCAGCGCGGGCGCAGGGCGCGCGAGCGCATGCGACACGCGCTAACCGATCGATAGCTCCCGGGCAACTGGCGACGACGGCGAGTGGAGCGGGACGGGAGGGGCGGGAGCAGCGCGTGGCTCGCGTCACGTGACATGTCGAACTTTCAACTGTTTTAGGGTGTCCATTATTTATGTTTTTTTTTTAATTGTTTTGTAAATTGTAAAATTAAATCTAGTTTAAAAAAATGCATTTTTTCGTGATAAGCAAATAAATAAATAACAGTTTTCAGATCTCAAAATAAAGTGTTATTTTAAGAGTTGGTACAAACGAATTGCTGTAATTTTATTTTGTTAAAAAAATAAATAAAGCAACGACGATTTTATAACTTCAGTAGTCGTAGTAGAAGAGAGTTTTGAATAAGCCTAGTAGGTAACTTTTCATTTATCATTCATGCTCATTTCTTACAAAACAGTAGATAATCCTAAAACTCTGACTAGCTAGTTACCTACATTTGTAAGAACTTTAACTTAGTCCATCAATTAACTTTCTTGTCTAAGATCTAAAATACAGAAAGCTAGCTTAATTTCTCCTTTAGGCTACTCCAACAATTAGGCTTTTCCATTAGACTTCAATACAAAAATCTTAGCGACAGTAACTCTGTAGTTACTATTTGTTAGAATGAAAAGCACCTTGAGCTTGAGCTGCTTCGAATTAATACTTAAACAAAATCAAGTCTTCACTTCTTGGAAGTCTATCGCTTGGGGACGCTTGACCTTCAGTTAAAATGTCCTCTTCATAGTAATAGTAATATCCTAGGTCAATGTTATATCCCAAGTTTTAGAATTGTAACTGGCTTGAGAAACCCGCCGGTGATAACCAAAGACCGTCAGAAGTCAAGTGAGTACATAGGTACGTTCCAACTCAAAGGAATCCGTCCGCTTGAGTAAATTTGCAAAGTATACAGATGCTGTATGTGCATGACGCCATTTTACAGTCGAATTTGTTTTCATACGTCAGCACGCATCATTCAACAATGATATACGCCGTTTCATTCCACGCCATTAATCACTCGTCCCGCAAAATTAATATTACCGAGGACAATACGCCCGTGTCGTGTCAAACGGAACGCGTTATCACGCAATAAATAGCGTCTCAAAATGGCGTCCTGACAAGATGGCGGGTAACGGTGAAAAAGCATATTCTAAAGCTTTACTAAGTAAAATACATGAAGGAACATCCTGTATGAGGAAAGACCAGTGAAAAAGATTTAATATTGTGTAAAAAGTATTTGAATTTTTTGTAAGCCCAAGATCCAATTTAACTTTTTTTTAAATGATGCTAAGTTAATTTTGTATAAAATTTATTAGAACACTATAAAATCGTTAAATAATCACTACAAAACTCAATACAAAATTAAATATCATCGTATCATTTCGTAAAAATGCAGCGGGCAACTTATCTGTTGTGCCGTATTTTACATTGAAACAGTCTTTTGTTTGCCCTGTCACTTCGCCGCAGATGTCGAGCTGCCAGAGGTGTCATTAGGAGTAATAGATGCCTTGAGCCTCTCGTTTTCAGCGACGAGAGCCTTAACCCTTTGCTCGTATTTCTCCCTGAGTTCCTGAAACCAATTTGTGCCTTGTCATTTATGGGTGGCATGCGGAATTTGCCTTCAGTGACTTGTGTTTAACTTTGTAGTTATTTGCACGTCACAATGATTTCCTTAGAAGTTTGTGGAACTCATAGTGATGAAGCTATAACTTACAAATAAGGAGACCTTTACAGACAGAAACTCGTTACGCTGTTTTCGCGACTAACATAAAAAAGTCATCTCAAGATTTATGGTGCGAGGCAGTTATAGCTCATAGGTATACCTACTCATCATCATTCAGCCACAGGACGTCTAGACGTCTACTGCTGAACATAATATAGGTCTCTCCAAATAATTTTCAGATTGGCCGATGGGTAGCGGCACTAGCGGCCTGCACCCAGCACCTTCCTGCTACTTTTATGAAGTCGTCTGTCCACCTTGTGAGTAGAGACCATAACATCATCCATATAACAAAGTTCCTAACCTTGAATATGGCAAGCTGAGTCTCGTACTCCTTCTTGAGGTCACCGTTGATGTTGGAACTGGTCTGAGCGCGCTGCAGCACCAATCCAAAGCGCTCCTTCTCCGTCTTGAAGCGTGTTTCCATGACAGCCAGGCGGTCCTGGAAAATTTATAGTTGGTTGTAATAAATGCGAATAAAAAAGTACGATTTAAATTTTGTGTGATACAAAAAAAAATACAATACGGAAATTCTAGACAAAGGTCTCAACCTTAAGAGGTTAGAATTACTAACATTTAAACTATGCCGTTGATGTTGCATAATGTAGGTACCTACCACCTTAGATCCTACCACCTACCTACTACCTAATCACCAAATAGAAATTTGACTTACCTCCATAGCTTTGATTTCTGAATTCCTTATCTCAAGCAAATCTTTCGTGATTTGGTTGATGTCTTTCAGCGACTGCACTTGCGTCGTCAAAGCCTCAATCTGCAGCTCCTGGTTCTTCACCATCTTTGTTTTGTCAAAGATCATGCCACGGGCTTTGCTTAGCAGCTGCAAAAAAGAATAATGTATTCAATTTCAATCAAAACAGTGGTCAATAGAAGAACTCTTACAATTTTAAAGATGTCAAACACGTGACAAACCTCTTCATGTTGCTGTTTAATATTCTCAATCATCTCATGGTTTTTGCCACTGGGTTTTGACAATGCAGCCTGGAGTTCAGTCTCTAGATTTTTAACTCTTGCCTTCAAGAGATCAATCTCTTCTTCGCGAACCTAAAAGTAAAAAACTCATTTTAATTTTATTCTATAAACGGCAGCAACTAGCTTTCCTAAAATTTTTCGTCGACTAAGTTCACCTTCAACTCCAATTTCAATCCATCTTCAGTCGTTTCATTCTTGACTTTTTCTAATTCTTCGATCTTCTTTAAAAGTTCTAACTCTCTCTGTTGCCAGTTCTGAAATGTAAAATGCCATTTTTTTCGTATTAAGGTACTAAGAAGTTTTATTACAGTTGTATTTTTTTAAACGCCAGGGTCACTTACAGCGTCTTTGGTATCTGTGTTATTTTGTGCGACATCGTTCCCATTCTGGTCTACTGAAGGCTCTGCCGTTGGTTTGACTTCTGTTGGCTTAACTTCTGTTGGTTTCACTTCTTCTTGTTTAGCTTCTACAGGTTGTGTTGGTTCTGGCTCTGGTTCCTTCTTGGCTTCAATTTGTTCATTTACTTGTTGTGGTTCAACCTAGAATGAAGGTACATTAAGTTCAAAGGTTATATCCTAAAGTAGGTATCCTAAGTATGTACAGTCGCGGAATGAAAAGGTTCGTCACCTTAGTGTCGGTTTTCGCTTGCACTAGGTACTGTAAGAGTCAAACCTGCCAACATAACCGTGCAAGAAACAGTGCTGCTAACATATAAATATGACGTTTGCTAACAAATAAGGTTTTGCTTGTTTATTTTTCTATCCCATTAGTGCAATGTTACAAAATGTAGTTTTTTTTAAATAGATAATGGCAGGTTGAACCAACAAGGTTTTAGTTTGTCAATCATAATAATCTTCTTGACAAGTTAAATCGTCAAACAACATTGATCTGAATAATTTTGAACTTTACTGACGAACAGTTAAAGATTATTTTCTCTAACTCGAGATTATTCTGTAACATAGTTTCAAAAGGTAATACCTATGTGCTCGCGATTCGTTCAAGGAATCAATTTGAAAACTGACGAACCTTTTCATTCCGTGACTGTACATTACAACACAAACTTGTGTAATATAAAACCAGGGCTTATTTCATGGTTTTAACTTTATTAGTCAGAAATTACTATACCGAAGACAGTAATAAGACATGGGTCAGTTTCTCCAAAATCTGACCTAGTAACGTAAAATGTGATATGTAGTAAAGGCAATCTTTTCTCATTTGAATGTCACTAAAACATCAAAGAACATGACCCTCGTCGCATATTACAATCAAAGGGAAATAGATCGAAAATAAACATACTTCTTACTAGTACGATAGAGCGTAATGTCGACCTTCGGGAGCAGTGAAATGGAAAGCTAATACAGAAAGGACAGGGACAACTTTGCTATCTGAAATATAAGGCTAAATTATGATTTCATACCTACTATTTCAGTGGACGTCTTTTGGCTGAAACGAACGAACGAACGAACCTACTATTTACTATTTTATTTGGAAGAATATGTATTAATCTAAAGTAAAGTATACTATTTTCATAATTCTTTTCATAGTGCCTACTCTTTGGCCAATTTTTGCTTCTCATCAAACTAGACTCGGACAGACTTCTTGGACTATAGCAAAAACTGAAAAGCTAAAGATACATTTTACTTACAGCGGCAGGCTTGACGTCCTGCGCTTCAGAGCTGGCTGGCTTCGGGTCCTGAGTGGGGGTCGCTGGTGGAGCTGGAGCTCCTTCCCCGCCACCGGTCTCTTGTGTCTGGAGAGCGTCAGCCTGGAATCATTAAAGATTTATACTAAGTACTGACTGTACTTCTACGTCAAATATACTCAACATCAAATAAATCGCACCTTCCGCGACGCGAACTTTAAAGATTTTCTTCTGACACAATCATGGTGCCCCAACAATATTGGTGTTATTTGAAAGCCCAATAAATATCCTTAAAGAAAAACACATTTAATTTCTTAATAAATGATTAACATATACCATAAATGTGACTTGAAAAAAGACCTCACTTTGGGTTCACCTCTGGGATCAATTAGACCAAATTTTATGGTTATAAAACCAAATAATGATCACACGTGTCCTCTTTAACAGATGGATAGCGATTAATCCCAACTTAACAGTTTTATAGCCATAAAAGTTGGCTCAAGCGTAACTATCTATTTTTTGAAGAAGTGACTCTGGATCCTTCTAAAGAAACATTTTTGGGGTAAAAACCTTTCCTATAATGAAATGAAGTTTAGAACTAGGCTTTTGTATGGTACCAATATTGGTGTGAAGTGGATACGTTTGAAAGTGCTTGTCGCGGGTGGTGCGATTTATTTGCTGTCGAGTGTTTTTGACGCTTGACTTTACTACGAGTATAATTATACAGACGGACGTCTGAACAGATTCATCTGTTTAAGTTAAGTAGAGACAGCTCTACCGCTTTACAGTAATTAAAATTTAGTATAGTAATTAAAATCGCCTAATTGACTTCGGCGTACCTACAACATGAATATTGACATTTTACGCATCTACCCATGTGAAGCCTTTTGAGTGTTTTCATCCCACGTCCTAATAATCTTAACTGGTCCTAAATTCATTGGACATTAATTAATGTTTCAAAATATCGATAACCCATGTCAAAATCTGTAAAGTTGTTCTGACGTCGGCCTCTCAAAGGACACATCTCGTGTCCCCATGTCGCTTACAAAGGGTCACATGTCATAACATTAATTTATTAACAAAACACCAATATGCGTGGACCATTCTGTCTAATAATTCAGACCTGATATCACAACAACGTAAGAATTAAAATTATTTTGGACTACATGCATTTGCTAATCGTCATTAGATCTCATTCGATTTTCTTTCGAGAAAACCACGCGTTCTCCTAAATAATCAATTTAGAATATTCTCCTTGTTTTTCTTTCCCCTTATCCCGAGAATAATCACATGTTTATGAGCGGACTGGAGAGCAAAGCTGTCTTAACTCCTTCCTACATTCTAAACTCGCTTTAAATTTTAACTGCAAGGCTGCAAAGATATCTGCCGCGCGAGCAGAACGCTCGTAAAGCCGGGACATTATTCAAATAACCTATGAAACGTGCCGCCAAATCCCGGCGCAGCCAAGATCTTCCAGCATATTTTATAGATTTTTGATTTCGCAAACTAAATCACATCGAGGAAACTGCACTACTGTCAGCCATAAATGGCATTGCAATGTACAAAAAGCAAATGAAGAAATACGATATGATTAAGCACAAGACTAAATGCAACTTCCCTAGATAGGTACCCCAAAACTTTTTCAGACGGATACCTTACTAAAACAAATTATTATTATAGATTCCTACCTAGATATCAATGCAAAGTATGTAGGTATAGCTTGCCCTTCCGCCACTTCACTTACAATTACATTATATTCTCTCAACTAAACGAGTTTCCCTCATTAGACTATATGTTCATAACTCGGTGAATTAAGCGGTGAAAATCAACAGAATTCAGCAAAGTTTCCCGCGAATTTAACGGCAAACAATATGGCGTCACACGCGGCCGCGTGCCGGCGAATAATTTTATTGGTCAAACGAGTTAAGGCCCCAGGGAAATTTGAATAATTTAACGCCTGTATTATACTTACTAAAGTGGAATAGAATTTGGTTTGTTAGCGACAGCGAACGCCCAAAGGAAGTAGACTCAATTCAAAAACTCCTTGCTAATCTATCTAGCTAGAGTCTAATAGAGGTTTACAATACTTGGAATGATGAGTAGGTAGACATTTTTTCGTCCGTAAAATGCATTAAATTGCGTAATTAAGTAAGTACTCACATTATTAGTCTTTCAACTCTGACGATACGCGCTGAGGAACGGCGGAAAGGAAAATGTGGAAAAGCCATCGGTTGTGGTCTCTATGATTCGTCCGTGATAACAGACAAATCTTAGGCAACTAAAGTATACTCACTAAACACCAAAAAAATGATTCTTAACTACCCTCTGACCAAGCTTTATAAATTGACCTACATTTTTAAATACTTAAATAGGTACCTACCCGTATAAATAATAATTTGTCACCGCCAAATAATTATTTACTAGATCAAATCAACGAAGTTGTAAACATCTTACCATTTCTTTAAATAGAAACTAAATAAAATTCGTTTGAAAAACTTAAAGTGAACAAAACAACAATGATGACCAAGCACCTTACCCACAAACTGTGGCATTCGTCAAACCCTCGAACTCTCGTCCAAATCGATCTCATTACAAATCCCTCGGAATTGTCTAAATTCAAAAATCTATTAACTCCCTCATTTTCATCAATATCTCCCATTTCATTTCATGTTAGATCGTATTTTGCACGTGTGACGAGCGAGCCGATGACATTTCAAAAACGAAATCACAGAGAAAATAAAAAATGCTACTGAATACAAACTTTTTTCTAACAAAAAGGTTGTGGGGTCGGTGGGTAGGTAGGTACTCACCATGACAGATCCTCTTGGTTGCTCTTGGTAGTAAACTGGAGCACACTAAAGTAACACAGCAAGTAATCAAGCACTGGACAACACAAGGAACCACGCACAAGTTATACTCAAAACTTCGGTCTATTTCTGGAGTGCAGACGTGGAAGTAAAAATAGATTATTCGAGTGCGCGTCGGGAATCATTGCTTCCCGCCTGAATTTCAATCTTCATTGGAAAGTTCATTGTTTAAAAAGCTAATAGTCATGTCTTTTCTAAAATGTAAGTCATCTTAATATTTACAGGGCCTATTTTGCATACTGAATAAAATAAGCTGGCAGAATTTAAAATTAGTAGGACAAGGTCTTTTTTGCAAATAACATTCTAATTATCCTCTCATTGCATGCAGTAGGTAGCTAGCCTCAGACGAAAAATTAAAGGATACCAGTGCCGCTAAGAAAATGAGAGGGTACCAGTGCCGCGCCCTAACGTCTACCGCATCCCGTACAGTTTAGAGGTCGATCATATAAGGAATTTATTTATTAATAAAAAATAAAATTTTCACAAAATTTCGTTAGTAAAATATTAATAAACATTTTAAAATATTAAAGCCAATTAAATAATTTAGGTATTTCGTTAGATTAAATAATGCTAATTTCTCTAGCGCAAAAAAAAACAAATTGTCAAACTATGCAGCTGTTCCGCTGTCATTGTCACACTGACATTGACAAATTCCCCGATTTGTTTGTTGATGAACTTTAAATTTTCTGTTTTGTTGTAAATTATAAAAATTGCCTATTTATATTACCTACAATATTGGAAAGAGGTGAATTAACTCGTCAACTAATTGTGTTAATGTTACCACATAACCTAGCAGCTTATAACTATTACTTTCAGAAAAGCCATGACTTCAGAAAAGAACGCCCAGCTCGGCCAAGCGCGGGAAGCTTTCCAACTAATTCATCAGATCTCGCAGCTTCTGTGCACCGGACTGGATCCTGAGACGCTTACCATCTGCATACGCCTGTGCGAACTGGGCGTAGACCCCGAAGTGCTAGCTCATGTAATCAAGGAAATCAGAAAAATGGGCGACAATACTGTACAAAACAAACCGGTTAATTTACAACCTTAGTGAAAGCTCTATGCTTCAGTTTTAAGTATACTGTTTGCAGTACCTTCCAGTTTTCAGGTTTTTGGTACTAAGTAGGATTTTTTCTCATCATACAAGTTTATTATTTGCTCATCCAGAGGTCAAGCTTTTTATTAAGACTAGTCCTGAATTGCTATAATATGTATAGTTTTTTAAGAGCGTTGTAGCAAAAAGTCGGCGTTCGAATTTTAGGTTTTTATTGCTTGACGTCGCGTAGTGAGTGCGCAAACTGCATTTATCTGTACAATTTCAACGCTGCGTCGACTAAACGATCTTAATCCGTAGTTGTATCGTACCTAAGACAGTACATCATACATAATAATAAAGAAATAACGTATAATTTACCTATTTGATTTTTTCTCAGATCAGACTTTTAGCAAAATCAAGTTACGTAATTAATTTATTTTTTACACTAGTAAATCCCGCGACAAGTTTTTAATCTTTAAATTGAGTAAAGTAATAAGTTGATGGGTTTGAAAGAATTTATGTTTTATTTTATTTTTTTTACAGCATCAAAAGCTTGTTTATGAAAAATATTTACTATTTAAATTTTACTTTTGACTTTTTAGTTTTTATGATGCGTGATGGAAAAATTAAAATTTATTCTGATTTTGTGACGTTTCCGCACATAAATATGGATAGGTTAAATAAATAGAATGAAATGTATGAAAACCAGCGTGTCATTTTTTAAACGTTATCTATAATATCTGTGTCCATCAAAGAGCTCGTAACTAAACATCGTAAGCGCCATTCACATTATTATCTAAAAGTTAATAATAAATATTTAGTTTTTGTAAATCTAAACAAGTCAGGAAATCAAAGAGGTAAATACTGATAGCATTGTGATTTTATTAAAAAACAATACTTGTCAAAAAACCAAGTCTCACTACTCAGTTGTTCTACGGTAAAAAGTTGTGAGATCCATGTAATACCAAGTCCAGTCCAGGAAATCATTTACGTTTTACATAAATAATAATATTGACTTGNAATATGAAACATTAAAATGTAGAAAGTATTGATATGAAATTAATTGCCAAGACACCTTGCAAAGCAATTCAACCAACAGCAATAGAAATTTTAAAGACATACCATTTACCTATAATAAGTTTAATAATATTGAGTATGCATTAGTTTTTATCTGTGTAAATATAAATGTTTGGGTATTAAATAATAAAAAAATCTGTTAATATTTTATTATAAACATTTATTTTTTAAATTAGTTCTATTTTTATGCAATTATCAATTTTCATAAAATATTATGTGTTTGAATATAGACTAATGTGCAAAAAAGAACATGATGCCATCAAAGTGTAAGTCTCAGAAAATGGGATAAACAAATTCCAAAGACTAAGCACGTTCCGGCCACCACGCTCAGTGCACGTGCCACTCTTGACCTTATGGGAAACAAATAATCAGTCAAAAGTGACTCACACAGACAATATTGTATGAAAATTACATTATAATTTAATTAACAATAATAATAGTCAAGTTGCTTGGACCTTTGGATCAAATAGACAACAAAAATGTTGGTGACACTTTCGGAGCAAAATTATAAGCAATCAGCACAGAACTGAGAATATCACAGATGCAAATAACTCACTCAAACCCATATATGGTAAACAATGTCTAGTTACATAACAAATTATGAGATGGTTTGGCTATACAGTCTTAAGTATGGGCCTAACATTAACTACACAATTACATATTGATATTAACAATGTAAATATGATTACAATGAGTAATAATGATTTATTAATAGTTTCTCACATGTATCACATGAACAAAACAGAGGATATTGAATACATTCGTTCTTGAACGAATTGGTTAATCAACTTACTGAACTTGTTACTAAGTTGAGCAAAAAAACTTAAGACTGCATGAGTTTTGAACTTAGTTAATTAACTACTATTGAAAAGACTGCCCTTGTGGCTGTGTCTGTCCTAACACTGAAGGGTCTTCAAATATGGGCTGCTGGGGATGGAACTGCTCGGCGGTGAGTCTAGTGAACATGATACCGATGCCTTCGATCAGAGCGAGGAGGATACCTCCGACTAGAGCACTGCCTGCCATTGCTGGGACACCTGTAAGACAAATTGTCAAATGTCACTCTATTCCATGTCACTTTCTTCATTCTTGAACTGGATAAACTATATAAAATACAGCTATAGTTTTTGTCCACGAATGGACACACTTTTTTATAAATATGTATACTTGCTGAAAACTGCATTTTATTGATACGACAGAATTAGAATAGTTAGTTCGATTAACATCTTCGAGCCGGATCACTAGCTTATTTTTCAGCAGTTCTCAGTATATTGGTAAAAAGCGGTTGGTAAAAATTGGATGATGGTAAATACACGTTCGCAGTTTCGATTAACAGTTTTAGTTCATATCTTACTAATAGTGTTCAAAGTTCACTTGTAGGATGACCTTGTATGTTGAGTGTTGACAATCTTACAAGTAATTTACTGTTATTGGGGACTTCTTCACACTGGATTACCAAAAGATTAGGTTGCCATTTGCAAAAATTACCATTTCGTGCAGCAAGAATGCCTCCTGTCAGAGCTCCGCTCATGATGGAATTCCATGGGTCTTCCTTTTGTCGCAGGTACACTAGAGAACAGTCGATTGTGGAGAACATGCCTCCCCAAACTGCAAAATTACCAGCTACAATGGGGGATCTCTCTTTGATTGCTGCTAAACTGCCAAGCTGCAAAAATTAATGAGTTATGGTGAAAAAAATATTTAATATCAATAATTAGGGATGATGGAGGATTATTAGATCAGGTGGTTGGATGCATATTTACCTAAAGCTGAGGGGTTTGCTATTATGGAATGCTAATACTTTTTCAGATTTGGAACAGGTGACCTTTTGTTCATAAAGAGTTAAATGAAACATTGAATATACATAAATCTATACATTACCATTTTTCTATTGAATCCTATAGGCGCATTTCTAAATCCCTTTATTGAATGGAAAATACCACCTCCAATGGCACCCATGATAAACGCACCACCAGAGTCGTCAAGGATACGCCACGGGCAAGGTTCTCTTGTGTATTCATCCATGTTTTATCGATCTAATGTTTCTGTAAGGGCAAATTACTGCGAGTTAGGTAAGACTATAACCTCAAAGATACTACAAGCATGAAAACAAGGTGGATAACATGTTATTTATAATTTAATGTTATTGAAATTACCTGTTTATGGATTTAGTTTAATGGTATCCCGTGTTTTCAGTCTATTTTTTAATTCACACAACTATTGCACCATGTTCACTTCACCAACATTTTTAAGGAACGAAAGAACGAATGATGAAAGTGAAACAAGTAAATGAATGAATGAACTCACAGAAAACCATAGAGTCGGTCACATTCATCTGCTTTGTTTTGAGAATTGGGCACCGAAAAAAAAATTAAAAAAGTTATCACAGCTGTCGTCCGTCACTGTCAGTGTCAATAAATATTCGTCAAAAATTGTTTTCATTTTGTAATAATTTTCATTAAGCTTTGCTGAAATTCATAAAAATATAATAAGATGACTATTTATAACATGTATATATTTGATCGTTACGGTACACTTTTGTACTATGGAGAATGGAATAGAGTGAAAAATACGGAAATGTCCAGGGAGGAGGCAAGTTTCACCATCACTAAAACATAAATACATTACTACCCAAATCTCGTTCTATTAACATCATTTCACGTTATATTTCAGGAGGGCAAACTGATGTATGGTATGCTGTTCTCGATAAAGTCGTTTGTTGCCAAAATATCGCCATTGGACCCGAAAGAAGGATTTATGCATTACAAGACTTCAAAGTACACCTTAAACTGCTTGGAAACTCCATCTGGATTAAAGTTCGTCATGAACACCGATAACCAAGCTCAGGGAGTTAGAGAATTGCTGAAAAAGATTTATGCAGAGGTGTACGTCAAGTACGCCATCAGAAACCCACTATGTGTAATCGGAGAACCCATTACTAGTGAACTTTTTAAAAGTAAATTAGATGCATTTATTAAACAAACGCCTATTCATGCTGTACGAGCATCTTGATAGTAATATGTTGTATAATAGTGTTAACCATAAATAAGCCGCAATAGGCTAATGCTAATTTATTAGGTGACCATGTTGCACCTATCTGATGTTTTGATGTACATATTTTATTCTATAAGTTTTACGTGTTAGCTTTACTATAAAATTTGAATTATTGATGCTGAACTTACTTCTAAATGTGTATAGCTATAATAATATTGTAACTTTCAATGTTTGTTATTTAATAATATCAAATTATTTAAAGCAGTATCTTGTACTATTTCAAAATATTGTAATTGAGATGGAAAATATAAAATATATTATGTTTTAAGTGTATTTACAATTTGTTATTTACTACTACATTGACAAATCTTTAAAATACCTACAGCCAACATTGAATTACAATTTAGGAAACAGCAATCAATAGAAACCGGAAATAAAATGATAAATATTTTAAAAAATTTATCACGACGTGTTTGGCAAAGCCTGGGAACGGGTGGGCAATGCCCACCTTATGTCTTGCCTAGTGCCCACCAAAAATCAGTCGATATACTGACGTGTCCAACATCGATTTGCAGCTGGACTACTGTCTTGCTACTGTCCCCCTACTTTGTAAAGTAGCCTTGTAGCTCCTTGAATCATTAAAGTTACCAAGTTCTTTCGATATACACATTTCTTTTACTTTGAGAGCATTGAGTGTCGTTGTATAAACAACGTTACCGTTATTTTGAAACAGTTTTTTTTATCTGTGCATGTAAACACTCCTTGCCCCCTCCCCTTCTCGTTCCTGAAAACCAAAACAAAAAAAAGACCACAACAAAAAATTGGTTAGATTGTTTGTTTTGATCTATTTTAAACGAAAAAAACGCTTTATAAAGATTCAATTAATACTATTTGTGTGTGAAAATAATGGCTTCAGTTGTGAATCGTCAAATATCCAGTTATTGTGATGAGTGAAACAGACGACACCGATGTACTTTTGCTGATACCTCCAAATTTCTTCCTCGTAAACAGTTCTGGCTCGGAAGATTCGCTTCTGGAGTCGTCGAGGACCGTCGTACACAAACCGGTTTCTTGTACCGCACAGGTACTCGGCAAATTGGTCAATCAAGTGCATTCACTCGAGTCGAGGTTAGAAAGCTTGGAGTTTAATTCCACTACTGACACTGCGTCTACGGTAGGCCCACTCTCGAGAAATAAACGGTGGGACACAACAACAGACAGTCTCGACAGCCACAGCCTCGACAGCAAATACTATACATTCCCTCGCAGGCGCAAGAAAAGAAGCGTACGTAAAGAAAAGAAACGTGATCTATCACTCACCAGCTTAGAATCATCCAGTGCCCGCAGTAAAACTGTCCCTTTCCTCAAATTAAAAGACGATATCCACCTTTCATTAGCTAAGTATCGCGATATAAATGACGCAAGAAGTATGGATGGAGATTTGAGCAGTATAATATCAACACCTAGTAAGAAGAATGATAAACTGTTACTCCATGAAATCGACGAATTCCTGACTAAAGTAGAGTCATACGAAAGTCCTGAAACAAAATACAAAGATCAAGGAACAAGTTTAAGCCCAGAAAATGTTATAAAAGCAACTGGAGACTACATAACTCATAAATTGGACTCGAAAAGTTCAGAAGATGTCAGATTGCCCAGTGGGAGGATAGTGTCTAGTAACATTCTTGATAAGTATATTTATTTGGTAAAAAACCAGCCCACAACTTCAGCACAGACAGATAAAACTGTTCCTCATTCAATATTGCACAAAACTCCAGAAGATATGTCCAATGTTACTCGTCCTGATAACACTTTGAAGGAACCTTATGTTTCAAAGACTGAAACCAGATCTCCCAGTATAAGAAAGTTGAATTTCTCAGACAGTAAAGATGTGCAGCCTACTTCTACACCTAAGAGGGTGCAGCCAACCTCCACAAACCACTTGGATTCATTTCGTCCATCTTCAAACAAGATATACGACCGGGCTACTAAGGTGCTTGAGCAGTATAAGGCACACAGTCTCAGTCGGCCAGGGCAGAGTTCCGTGACAGACAACAGCTACTTGCTGTCACCAAAGAAAGATGAGTTTAAGATGCCTCAAATGAGACCTTATGGTATGGACCACAAGGAAAGTTTAAAGTATGCTGCATTGCAGAACAAACTGATAGACTCAATTGATACAGACTTGTTGAGCCTAAGTGATCTTTGGGGTGAAAAAGCTGAGGGCAGAGTGGACAGAGCAGATAGTTTGAAGCTGGAAGAAGAAAGGCTCAAAAGAGAGGTAAGGATGTTTAATGCAAGCTTCTGTGTTCATAATACACTAGATACAATGACATAAACTTTTATATAAATTGTTTGTATGTACTAAGGTAGCCTTAATAAATAAATAATCAGGAAATGCAATGAGAGAAGATTCCTGTAATATTATTCTCAAGTGTATGACTTGTACATGTTTTTTGTTACAAACTATTTACATGTTTTTTTTACAATTTATATCCTCAGCACTGTGAAGTAATGATACAGCAACTCCAAAAGAAGATCCTGGATCAGCAGGAAAAGTTGGCTGTAGCGTTGAAAGTTGACCGAGCGAAGGACAATGCTATCGCCAAACTACGCGATGCCTGGCACAAGATCACTGGCAGTCTAGACAAGGCGGAGGAGAGACATCGTTCCGCTTTGGAGAAGATGGTCAGAGAAGTTGAGAACTTTAAAATGGTAGCTGACGATGCCCAGAAGGTACATACTATTTTGCAACACAGCATATTTATCGAAGCTCTAAAATGCATGATTTACACATCATTCCTACTTTATCTGTAAGAAGTATAATAAACACAATCTTTTTTTCTAGAAAACAAATCACTTTGAGGCTGAACTATACAAAGCATTGGACCTGGCACACGACTACCAAGACAAATGCAAGCAGATGACACAAGAAAAGAAACTTCTAGAAGAGAATTTGGAGACAATGGCTGCCAGTCACAAGGAGATTGTCAGCCGTAAAGACAAGGAGATTGAACTGCTGAAAGAAAATTACGACACAGTGATGAAGCTAAACAAGCAGTCTACAGATTGTGTTAAGAATTTAGAGGACACTTTGGAAAGGGTAAATATCATTTATTTATTTACATACATACATCCTAATAAGTCCATAATGATATGGACCCAAGTCTGATTATGAAATCAGACCGCGTTCTGGAATGGAGGCCGCGTGCCGGAAAACGCAGCGTGGGACGTCCACCTATAAGGTGGACCGACAACATCGTAAAGGTAGCAGAGAAGCACTGGACGCAGGCCGCTACCAATCGATCAACGTGGAAAGCATTGGGGGAGGCCTATGTTCAGCAGTGGACGTCCTATGGCTAAAATGATGATGATGATAATGAGACCAATCTTATGTGAATATGCCTTTGTGTATGACTGTTTCCTTTTTTTGTAGGAAAAGACTGAACACGAATTGACCAAGAGCAAAGTAAACGACCTAGGCCGTCGAATACAGTCGTTCAATGAAGAGTCTTCCTTAGTGATGCAAGAGAGAGACCTGCTGAAAGAGAAGTTGAACGAGGAGCGAGCGAGAGCGAACATACTGGAGCGACAGCTGTGCGAGAAACAGAACCAAAGCAGTGAGCTGTTGAAGAAATGTGTAAGTAATTTTACAAGTTTTATAAATCGCCAGGAAGGGTCTGTTTTGATATCCTTCTCCTGATCAATCTCATCTATAGTCTGGTCCGTGAGCACGTAGAATTTTGTCCAATGACCCCAAGCTACCCATCCTTATCGCTCGCGCGTAATTATATTGCTGTAGCGACTGTGGGACGGGCGCCCGCAATGAGTGTGCGAGCGCGACAGCAACATAATTACGCGCGAGCGATAAGGATGGGTAGCCTGGGGTCATTGGACACAATTCTACGTGCTCCCGGACTTTTTAAGCGATAATAGTACAACGGTATCTGTGTAGGACTAGCCGACTCGAGACCCGACAAACGTTGGTTCGAAGCCCGTCACGTAAACTACACAAGCATACAATAATTTTTCTATTGATTTTAATTAAAACATTGAAAATAAATTTCAGGACACCCTAGACAATGAAGTGAAAATGCTCCGCAAGCATCTAGAGCTACAAAAGAACGAGCTAAAGCTGCACTATCAGAAGCAGCTAGAAGACGCTGTGTTAGGCAAACTGCAGGAGTTCCAGCTGCAATTGGAAGGCGCTGAGAGAGATCTCGAGCAAGCTGCCAGGGAGAAGGAGGCGAGCATTGTGGACGGCTTCAACAAGCAGATCACCAGGATTGAGGAGCAGTGAGTATTTTAATAAAAGAGAACGGGAATCTCATCTGATACAATAGCGATGGCGAAGCTCATCCCGCGAATTTTAGACGCAGCTGGAAAATGAAAGGGGACGTTTGTTCCGGCGTTTCTTCTCAGCACTTGCCATATGTTTGTCTCGAAGCGCTGGTAGGGCCCAAAAGATAAGGAGACATGTAAAGTGCCCCATAAGGGCTACCTTTTCTTTTTTTATTATTTTCTATTGACGTTCATAAGTGCCACTTGTGGTCTAAACTGAATAAATATTACTTTATTTATACAGATCTGTACAAGCACTAAAACACATCATCATACACAACTGTTTTATTTTTTGCTTCAGGCATAAACTTGAAGTACATGTTTTGGAAGAAAAGCAGAGGGAAGAAATAAATCTTTATAGACTACAACTCGCGCAGGCTAGCGAGAAAATAGGACTTCTAGAGGTGAGTTGTCTTATCACTTAAAATTTAGATACATGACTGTTCTTTTAGACAAATGTCAACTCTTGAGGTTATGGACTTATACTAAAAGAATAAGTAAAATGAGAGCGCGGACACGTGCGACGGTTTCACACATGCGCGGTGGGGGTGTTTTACCGTGTAGGTCCTTATGGTGTAACTAAAGTTCGGTCACCGAGCAGATAGAATTTCGTCCAATGACCCCAAGCTACCCATCCTTATCACTCGCGCGTAAGTATATTGCTGTCGCGACTGTACGACGGGCGCCTGCAGTGAGTGTGCGTGCGCGACAGCAACATAACGAAGCGATAAGGATGGGTAGCTTGGGGTCATTGGACGAAATTCTACCTCCTCGGCGGCCGGACTTTACCTTAAATTGACCGGTCTTCCCAGAGCAAGTTAGAGACGTACCGGCGCCGGCGCGGTCAGAT